AATTTTGGGAAACCCCCAGATATGTCTGGATACACATATGGGGGTTTCCCAAACTTAGGGGTACGTTTTTGGGGATCCTCACAATCAGGATTTTGATATATTGGGGTCTTTAGATTGGGGTCCCCCCTAACTGCCATATATGTTGCCCCCCCCCCTCCCCCCTCAGTTATAGTGTCTAGCGTTTTGGGCCTCTTCAGTACACATTTACAAAGAAAGGCGAGGAAATCAGGGAGGGTCTCTAGTCTTGAGTAGACGTTCTTTAAGTCGTTTTTACAAATTCCTTCATGCAAACCTCATGAAGACAATCAAGATGCAGAAAAGCAAGAAGATCCCTGATTCCCATAAGAGTTTCTTAAGCTCTTGTACATAGACTCCTTTATCATACGCTGACATAGACAATCTTGCAAATCAACGATATTATTACATGGCTTATATAGAATCCCCTGTAACAATCACATAAAAGCAGTTAAGCTCTAGGATTTCAAGGTCCCTAATTTGGAATCTGGGGGGTGGTGTAGGAAAACTCTCCGTTGGCAAAGATGACGTTGCCCGCAACGCGAAATCGCGGGCTCGCCATGTCGCGATAAAGGTCTGAGAATTATACAGCACGAGACTCATTTTGGATTCCACTCCAAGCGCTCGACTGCTCAGTTCACATCAGGCGACGTACTTTAGACGTATATGAGTCATATATAAGCAACAACTAAATTCTCTGCACGTCAATTATTGGGATTTGTCAACAGCCTTTCGTCAGCTGAATTCCCTCAATAGGCAACCATCAAGGTGAAGTATGAAAAGCAAACTGGTGCTTGACGCGCATGATACGAAAAGAGTCCTCCGTAGTGGGTTACATGTATGGTGGCGGTGCTCCTTGCGGGAGTAGGATTATACGAGCATGATGACAATAGGCGCGCTGACAACGTGTAGTGAACGTGGTGATGACAGTGAAAGAAGCCTCAAAGGCTATGAAGCCAAGCAGGGCCCAAGAATTTGTAGTGGTGAAAGTCATGTTGTTGTCATTAGCAAAATTTTCCTACTACTGTTACGGTTACTATTATCATAGCTACTGCTACTACTTCGAGTACTCCTTTCACTCGTTGTATGCGTAGTTGTAATCGTTTTTGTGTTAGTATTGACTCCTCTTCCTCCTACGACGATGACGACGACTGCTGCTACTACTCCTACGACGACGACGACGACTACTATTACTACTTACTAGCCGCCCTCGCCCCCTACCAACGATGTTTGCTTAAATGGCAAATATGAATGTGGGGGAGGCGGCATTAGAAAACAGCAGCCAGCATGACAGCAAAATGCTTTCCACGCAGAGTGCTGCTTAGTTCTCGAAGGCCTGCTTTGTGAGCCTTACCTGGACCATGGCAGACACACAGCCATCAAAGATTTCGGGGGGACCGCCAAAAATGCGGGCCAACATGGCGATCCTATGGATCCACATCTGCTTGCCTCCCACAAAACCCAGAGAAATGGCATGATCTTGTCTAGTTGGAGCGAGCAGTTGAAGGAAGGCACTAAGTTTGGGGGAAGTTGACTGATTGAGGTCCG